AATGATATTTTATTATCTTAATTATAAGAAATTTTAAATATTGTGATCAGACGGATTAAAATAAATAATTGTTATAATATTCACAATATGACGCAATTACACTATCCTATAATTTTATGTTGTTTCGGAGTACAAATGAAGATAAGAAATTGTGGGGGGGGGTATTTGCGAACGAAGTGCTGAGTATTATAATTGTACCTGGAAGTAATTAAGAACTAATGAAAATTATATAATGAGTAGCTTAAAAATTTCTTACCTAATATTTTTAACTAAGAAGAAAGGTATGTAATTTTTTTAAAAAATGAAAATTTTGGGAATTGTGAACAGTGTTATTGAACTGAATTTATTTCTAACACCATCACGGTTTAAATATTATTTTTCAATCAGCCCATCAGTTTTATGTCTAATGAAATTTGGATGTTGTAACAAAAGAATATATGAAGACCAAAGAAACATGGACGAAAGCCCTGAGACGCAGATCAGTTATTAGACCACAGAAGAAAATTAGATATTTTAGACGAACATGATATGGATTTGTCGAAATCAAATTATCGAAGTACGTATAAATAAAAGTGATCAGATAATATTAAAAGAATCAAATTTCATTATACACTTAAAATAACTTTTAGAGTACGGGCTGGACGATTTTCAAAACTGACTGCTAGAAGGTTAGGCTTTCGAGAGGCCGAAATAGGTCATTTATTGGTCTAACTTCGTGTGTAGAAGAATGAGATATATCGTAAAAGAAAGACAGGCTTTATTAAAGTTATGATTAAATGTAATTTAAAGACAAAATTGGATTAAAATATATAATAAAATACAGGTCAATACACAAAACAATTTTTTTTAGGATGTTAAAAATTTAAAATTTAAATTTTAAATTTTTAACATCCTAAAAAAAATTGTTTTGTGTATTGACCTGTATTTTATTATATATTTTAATCAAAAACACAAACATGACGCATGTAAACCTTGAACAAAATTGGAGTTAAGGTACTAACATTCCAAATGTTCTTGGGAATAGATTTATACGTACCCACAAATTTTGTATAAAACATTTTATTTTACTTGTTAAAGATTACAAACATGAGAGGGATGCAAAATTTTGAGTTTATATTTGAAGATTTTTACGGCGATGGGTCTAAAGATGGCTGTCCTCTGGGTTGTTGCGCATTGTAGCCTTGTAGAAGTTTACCGACGTTTCAGAGGTCCTTGCTACATCCATTATCAGGGCGATGATGGAGAAAGCAAGTACTTTTGAAACGTCGATAAACTTCTA